GGCTTACATTTATTTAATTTTACCTATACAATAATTATTTGTCGTTTCGTTACAGGTGTTTCTGAGCGATTTGTACACAAACTCGTAAATGAAGAGGAACACGCTGAAGAATCCAATTCTAAAATTTCTACCCCTGGCAAAAAAAGGCAAAGAAAAACCGGGAAGCAAGAAGTTGATAATTATGACATTGGTGTTATAAGAAGAAAAATTCACGAATTTTATTCAGTGAAAAAAGAAATCCCTACCATACCCAAATTACTGAGTATTTTAAAGGAAGATATTGATTTCAAAGGAGAACGTGAAACTCTTCGAAAATTGCTTCACAAAATAGGATTTCGTTATAAGAAAACGAAATCAAATAGAAAAGTGTTGTGCGAACGTAACGACGTAGTTGCATGGAGAGCAACCTACCTACAAAAAATTAAAGAAAATGAGCGTGGTGAAAAAAGACCTGTTATTTATTTAGACGAAACTTACATTCACTCGTCTCACTCAACTGGGAAATGTTGGCAAGGTCCTGAAGAAGATGGTGATTTGGAACCTGTTTCGAAAGGTAATAGGTGGATCATTATCCATGCAGGTGGAGAAAAAGGTTTTGTGGAGAATGCCCTTCTCGCATTTAAATCAAATACAAAATATGGGGACTACCATGATGAAATGAATAGCATTAATTTCAAAAAATGGGTATATGAAAAATTACTACCTAATCTGCATGAACCTTCGCTCATTGTAATGGATAATGCGCCATACCATAGTATTTGCGTAAATAGGTGTCCTAATTCAAACCACAGTAAGGCTGATATGCAGAAGTGGCTTGAAAAAAACAATGTAAGTTTCAATGAACAAATGACAAAACCTCAGCTTTATGAATTAATAAAGAGAAATAAACCTGCTCCGGAATACGAAATTGATAACCTGATGAAAAGTCATGGCCATGCTATTCTTAGATTGCCGCCTTATCATTGCGACTTGAATGCAATTGAAATGATATGGAGTTCTATGAAAAGGAACATAGCAGACAAAAATGTTGGAAAATCTAATGTTCTAATGCCCCAATTAATTGAAGATGCATTTAATAAAATTACACCGGTGCAGTGGAAAAACATATGCAATCATGTGAAAAAAATTGAAAATGAATACAGACTAAAAGACGCGTATTTAGATGAACCCTTTATTATAGAGTGTCAGAGCGATAGCGAAACCGATTCCAGTGACTCAGAAGATGAATTATTGGAACCAGTATCTAACGCGGGTACATCTTTCAAAACAGGAATTCCTGGAGTTCGACCGCTTGAACTCCGAGACCACGACCACAATTATTTTTATAAAATATAAATTATATATATATATATATATATATATATATATATATATATATATATATATATATATATATATATATATATATATAACACGAAATTTGTTTTATTTTATACAGGGTGGCCCATAAGTCCCTTGAAATGTAAAAAAATAATTAAAAAAAAACTAATGACATTATGAAAAAGGTTTTTATTTTGTCATAATCCTTATAAAATGGGAATTATCTTTTAAAAATTACATCATCTAAATGTAATCCGTTACGATCGCGGCACTCCTGTAAGCGACGTTTAAAATTATCCATCACTGCGTGGCAAGTAAGCTCTGTAATGTTTGCCATTTCTCTTTGGATATTTTCTTTCAGGACGTCAATTGTCCGCGGGTTGGTTTCGTACACTTTAGTCTTAAGATAACCCCATAAGAAAAAGTCCATTGGGGTCAGATCTGGACTACGTGGTGGCCAAGGAATATCTCCTCTTCGAGAGATCACTTTATTAGGGAAAAGTTGACGGACGACCGGCAAAGCGACGTTAGAGGTATGGGCAGTTGCTCCATCTTGTTGAAACCAGGTCCGCGTATTGAAGCCTGGAAAATTCTGCAACTCTGGTGTAAAAAAGTCCTGGATCATAGCTACATACCGTTGTGAAGTAACAGTAAGCGCGCGGCCTCTGCCGTCCTCAAAAAAGTAAGGGCCTATAATGCCATGCGCTGACATAGCCGCCCAAACTGTCACTTTAGGGCTATGTAAGGGCTTTTGATGTTTGCGATTTGGATTTTCGCAACTCCAGTAGCGACAATTTTGCTTATTGACATGGCCGTTGATGTGAAAGTGAGCCTCATCAGAGAATAACACGTTATTAAACGAAGTAAAGCGGTTCAACATTTCATTTGCGAAATTTAGTTTGTGGATAGTGTCAGTATCTTTTAATTCCTGTACTAACTGAATCTTGTACGGGTGAAGATGTAAATCTTTCTTTAAAATTCGCTGTAACGATGTTCTGGGTAAGTTTAATGCACTGGAACGCTTACGAGTAGACTGGGTAGGATTTTCACGAATTGAGTGTTTCACTACATCGATGTTTTCTTCCGTCCGTGATGTCCTTGGTCGACCTGACCGTTGTTTATCCAACGTCGAACCACTCTCTTCGAACTTAATAACCCAGTTCTTAATCGTTTGAACACTTGGAATGTCTTTAAAGTTGCGTAAATTCTGATATTCTCGAAATTTACGCCGCGCAATGGTAGCCGAATCATTGTTTCGATAAAACTCGCGCACACAAAATGCACGGTCCGCAACGGTGAAACGCTCCATGGCGACTGAATTCCCAGAAACCGTCGGTACTCCCCCCGCACCGCGCGCGCCACTCGTGCGCGCCTTTTGTATTTTATTCGAAATTTACATTTCTAACGACTTATGGGCCACCTGGTATTATGTGTAATGAATATGTAGTCACCTATTTCCTCGGTAAATTTCTTAAATGGCAATAGTAAGCACTCCACTAGCGACTCTGTCAACTGAACAGATAAGTTGGTGGCACTATAACAAACGAGCACACAGTCCACCTGATGGTAAGTGGTTGCTGTGGCCCATAGACAATCTACATCCATCCTCGTTTGCGAATAAAATGCAAATGCGTTGTCAGCCTTGAGGACTAAGATTGAATGCCTCTTTTCCAGTGAAAAGGGTCTCCGATCCTCTACACTCACCATACGAAACACAGCAGCATTAAGCTGCTATTTTACGCTGGTATTCTGTGAGAGCGTGGACCTTCCCCGGTCGAGCCGACCCATTCGTGCTACAACCATAATATAGCTGCAGCATGGCTCTGCCACGTATAAAACAATTCCCAATCAAGCTAAAATCCTGGTCATTTGGGAGATAAGTATGTCCTCCGATAGGAAATATTATATATTTAATACTTTTAAAAAACATCAGCCCATGAACTAAGCAGTAGAGAAAGTACACCATTACATAATTCTTGTTCTGACCAGAGCATCCATCACTTATCAGCACTAATTTATCAGAAGAAATTCCGTGGGTACTAAAATATCTTAATAAATGTGTTGTGACATCATTCTGGCCTTTTTACCCTCTGTCTCCAAGTAGCTATTCAAAACCACTTGATTTCTTCCAACATTGTGACTGTGACTTTTTTTTACAAAAACTACACAACTGTAACAGTTATATTGTTTTTGCCAAATATTGTTTGCACATATGTAGTTTTTGTAAAATCACCAAATTTTTAACAAGGGATTTGTCGCAGTTGAGTAGTTTTTGTTAAAAATGGATCAATGGGTTGAAAAGCCTATTTGGAAACGAACAAAAAGTTGCCAGTAACAAAAAAATATAAAAAATTACAGTTATGTTGTTTTTGTAAAAATCGCTTCTTGTATAATTAATTAATTAATGGTTTGAAGTGGATTTTGATATGTAGTAGTGGTGCTATTTTATGTATTAAATGTCTTTGCATGTGAACTACCAGTAGAAACGGTGACACAACTGTTCCAATGGTGATGCTAATGTGAATCTTAAGATAAGGTGTCTGCCTGCTTAGGCGCCTTGAGATACTATCGCCAGACGTCTTCTGGTTCAAGGTGCCGTCAAAATCTGCCAAAAACTACGCAATGTGACGCATCAACTAATTGTGAAGCAGTGTACTATAAAGGATTATTATCACTTGATACTAAAATTCTATAAAAACGAAGATCTCGAATAAAATGAAGACATAGCTTAAAAGACAAGCATCCAATCTTAATTAAAAAAAGTACAAAGTACCAACTTTGACATAAATATTAAATAAATTTTTACTATACTCTTTGTCGTAATCGTATGCATTAATTTCATTGATCAATTTATAATCTATTATAATTTATTAATCCGCAAAAGCACTACTGCGAAATTTTTACAACACTTTAATCTTATTTTGACAAAATAATTATATATTTCTTACGAAACCTTATTTCTAAATTATTTAGAAGATGCTAATTTGTTGCAAGCTTTAAACATCCGCAACGAACTACAGGCAGGGATGGTTGATTCCAAAATGGTGGTCGTTTGTTGTGCTTTCGAGTGATTTCTAATATTTTTATATTTAACGTGAGTAGAATTTAATTTTTAGACTGTAATTTATTACTTGTTTATATGACTAAGGTTATTTCTCTTATCTTCGGTTATTATCTAATTTTAATTGGATAGGGACCTTTTGCTCGTGCCAATACTTACAAAGAAACTTGCTAACAGAGCAAGAGCATCCATAAAATAATGTAATAAATACATTGATATAAGATACTCTTTATTCATTTTTTATGTAAGTATATCGTTTAGGCTTTTTAAGTAAAGTTTTGGGACGCATACAAGAAGAATAAAATCGTAAATGAATAAGCGCGGGATAATATTGTATAGAGGTTTGCGCCTAGCGTCATTTGTCATCAGTCATACATATTGTAATTCATTCGACTATTTATCGAAATTAATCGTATAAATTTTAAAATTATGATATTTTTTCATATAAAGACTTAGAATTGTGACTTGTAGTAATCATAAATCTTGAAGTAATTATAACCTATAAATGTTCGCCGGCGAGGACATAATTTAGTACGTTATAGTTGTTAATATTTATTTTTATTAATATTTCAGACGTATGTAGAAGTTTAAGGACACTTATTCCAATAAGATTGGAAAAATGGATGAAAGGGGAGAAGCGTCTGAAAACCTTGGCTTGTTGGAATGTCATTCCAATGAAGACGAGGATGGTACAAATAAAAATGATACAAATGAAGGGCTAGAAAGTACGACCAATTTAAATGCAACAGGTGAAACACCGAAGAATGATATAAAAGATATAGAAAGTGAATTAAAAAGTGTAAGTGAAATAGAACATACAAGTGAACTTCAAAATCATGTGGATTGCAACTCTAGTGAAGTCCCAGATAATAGTGCTGTGGTGCAAGAAAGTGAATCTGGAGTTAACGGAGACAATATAGTGTCTTTGGGTCTTGATGACCAAAGCAGTTTTTCTCTGAAAGGTATTTTAAAGTTAATTATAAAATCTTGAATAATAATGATAGTATGTTCACTATAGTTATGGCTTTTGGTACAACTTTCCATTGACTCCCGTCGAGTTGGGGGTTGATACATATTTTTACAGAAACGTTACACTATTATAAGCACACACACAAAGTTGCGGACAACATGCGGAAGCGTGTAATTTTTGAGAAAAGAGTTATTGAAAATCAATTATTCTTGCATTGTTTATGTCTAATCCTACAATAAAACTGACGCCATTTTTTATTGTTATTGTTAGTAGGGATGTAGATTCTTTCCGAAAAAGATCGATTTTTTAAAATAGATTCGAATTGTAAGCCGATGTATCGATTTACAAAAAATCGATTTCTAAATTATCTATATTTTTTTCATGTTTGCATTTATAATGTAAATATAAATCCATTTTATGAGAAAAAAAATCCCCTTCATCATAAAATATAGGGGGACTGATTATGAAGGATTTCTGTATCTATTTTGAGACTGCTACGTCTCTGGCGCTGCGGGAAGAGCAGCCTCTACGCCTTAGCGTAACAAATCACAGGCATCCCTCCTCGCCTCGTCCGATGCCTACGATTTGTTACAGCAGGCGGAGGCTGCTCCCCCTACACGCCTCCGACTCTTTAAAATCACTCTAGGGGTAGGACAGACTCGTACCAGGTGGAGTCGGGGTCAATCAATTCGGTTCTTTGACATAAGTTGAACCTAACCTATTTTATTTGTTATCTGCCCTAATTGGTACTGTTAAAATAAAACAAATTTCAATAAGAGATCATTTATTATGGTATCTTTCTTGTTTTTCATAAAATGGAATTATATTTACATTATAAATGCAAACATAAAAAAATATAGATATTTTAGAAATTGATTTTTTGTGAATCGATACATCAGCTTACGATTTGAATTGATTTAAAAATCAACCTTTTACGGAAAGAATCGACATCCCTACTGACGACAATGACATTACAAAATGGGGTCAGTTTTATTGTATGTTAGGATTAGATATAAAGAATGCAATAATAATTGATTTTCAATTATGTTTCTCTCAAAAATTACGTGTTTCCGTATGTAGTGACTTTGTGTGTGTGCGTATAATAGTGTAACTTTTCTGTAAAAATATGTATCAACCCCCAACTCGACGGGAGTCAATGGAAAGCTAAGCCCACAGAATGTTACATTATTATAAGCACACACGCAAAGTTTCAACATTCGGAGACAAATACTTTTTGAAAAAAAAAATTTAAAATCAACTATTTTTGCAATATTTGTCAATTGCTACTGTAAAACTGACGCTATTTTGTATTGTCGATTGTCATTGTCAGTAGGGATGTCCATTCTTTCCGAAAAAGTTCAATTTTTTTTTAATCGATTCGAATTGTAAGCTGATGTATCGATTTCTAAATATCTATATTTTTTAAGTTTGCATTTATAATGTAAATATAAATCCCTTTTATGAGAAAAAAATCCCCTTCATCATAAATAAATAGGGGGACTGATTCAGAAGGATTTCTGTATCTATTTTGAGACTGCTATGTCTCCGGCGCTGTGGGAAGAGCAGCCTCTACGCCTTTGCGTAACAAATCGCAGGCATTGTTCCTCGCCTTCGCAGCTTCGGCTTGTTGGTCACCTTCGTTGACCAGCCTCAGCCGCTACTGCTCGTCCGATGCCAACTATTTGTTACAGCAGGCGGAGGCTGCTCCCCCATTGCGCCTCTGGCTTTATAAAACCACTCTAGGGGTAGGACAGACTCGTACCAGGTGGAGTCAGGGTCAATCAATTAGGTTCTTTGACATAAGTTGAACCTAACCTATTTTATTTGTTATCTGCCCTAATTGGTACTGTTAAAATAAAACAAATTTCAATAAGAGATCATTTATTATGGTATCTTTCTTGTTTTTCATAAAATGGATTTATATTTACATTATAAATGCAAACATGAAAAAATGTAGATATTTTAGAAATCGATTTTTTGTAAATCGATACATCGGCTTACAATTCGAATCAATTTAAAAATCGATCTTTTTCGGAAAGAATCGACATCTCTACTAACGACGACAATGACATTACAAAATGGCGCCAGTTTTACGGTAGGATTAGACATAAACATTGCAAGAATAATTGATTTTCAATTTTTTTTTTCTTAAAAATTACGCTTACGTTTCCGCATGTTGAAACTTTGTGTGTGTGCTTATAATAGTGTAACCTTTCTGTAAAAATATGTATCAACACCCAACTCGACGGACGTCAATGGAAAGCTAAGCCTGGATTATTAATTATCATTGCATGCCTCAAATCAGTAGAGGTTGTATATTTTATAATTGATGGCTCCGTGGCGCAGTGGCTTATCAATGAGTTGCAACGCTGGGGGCTGCGGGTTTGGGGGTAACATTTTTTTAAATATTATTAATTTATCAAGTAATAAATGATGTTTTTTTATTTATATGTATATATATTTATGATAAACTGGTTTGAAAAATAGTTGAATTTTTGACTAGTTTATATTGTCAATAGATCACTGTTTATATTATTTGATTACATTATTGCAGTTCATCTGCAAATTGGTAAGCAGTCAGATATAGTTGTTTAGATAGACTAGTTTTGCCATTTACTAATTGAAGGATCAACAAATTTTAGTAGCAAATTGAAATGAAGTTCCATTCATATTTTCAAGGCTTAGGACTGGAAGGCTAACTAATAAAATTGTAATATATATAAATATCATACATGCATTCATACATTGTTTATGCTTAGCATATTTATGACTAAGTTTCCTCCTGATCTGTTTGTGATGAATGGCCATATTGGTGATCATCATTTTCTCTTATCAATTTTTAACTTAATATCTATATTCAGTCATATTAGACGGCTCCATGGCGCAGTGGCTTAGCAATGAGTTGCTGCGCTGGGGCCCTCGGGTTCGAATCCCGCACGGAACAAGTATTTGTATGACCTACAAATAATTGTTCTGGGTCTGGATGTTTGTCCTCCACGACACAGGAGAAAATCCTAGTGTGGGGGTAACGTTTTAATAAAAATAAAAGAAAATCATTATACCATTGCTTTTAATTTTTATTGTCTTTTTCAAAGTGGTGGCATATAAAGTTGTTAAATGTATAGAACAACATAATTAATATTTACATTCATTGTGAAGTAAAATACCTTAGGCACTTAAGTTCTTACACTATTTACAATTAACACTAGAATATACAACAATTAATTACTACTTTGTTTTATAAAATGTACTTTAAGTGCCCTTTAAAATTAGGAATAAGTATCTAAAAAAATAATGTAAAGAAAATTCAAAACTAAATAAATATATAAATGGAGATACATACCTTTTTATATTATTTACATTGATATAGAACCCTTTTTATATAACAGTATTGCCTCAATAAAAATAATTGTTGGAACATGTGCAAGAGAAAGAGAATCACTAGTGAAACTAGCAAGTAATGCTTGGTCTAATTGGGGTTGCTAGGAAACACTTACATGGGTGTTATGCAATAATAACATCTAATCATTCACAAATAAATTAGATTATCAGTAGTAAACTAGTTTAACAGCTGATGCCAAAAACGGTCTAAAAACTGTTCATTAATTCACAGTGTTGCTGGTTTCATAAACTATTCATATTTAATAGAATCAGGCATTACTTTGTGGAAGTCCATTATATTAAAGTTGAGAAAAAATTACTTTGTGTACATCCGCTCGATATATGCTATATACAGACCGCATAAATAGCAGTTGTTTTGGCTCGCCGCTCACTTAGCGGTTAGCCATCGTAGTCTATATCACCTAAGGATGCCTTGTGTAGAGGCGAAACACGTGTCGTATTGTGTCTTTCCTAGTGTAGTGGTGTTGGGAGTAGTAGTAGCTGGGATTAGTGGTGACGGGGATAGTGCACGCAATTGAGGGAGGGCGGGAGGTGCTCTTCAGACTAGGTAAGACATCATTTTATTTTATCAAGTGTATGTACGCAAAGTAATTTTTTCTCAACTTTACTATTCATATTTATTGAAAGGCTTGTTGATAAACAAAGATAGATAATAAATATTCTTTAATATGTAATGCGTTGACGAATTTGAAGATATTGCTAGTCAAAAATCATCAATTAAATTGCCCCAATTCAGTGCTTGTTCATTTTGTCTTGTATTTTGTGTTTTCTTGTTTATTATTTGCTGAAAACATCAAAGTATTGGGAAATATAAATTATCTTTAATATTTGTACATAGTTTTGTATGTTATTATTCACTTTGATGCATTTTAAATATACCTTTTTCTTGATGAACATTGGGTACCCTCATATCTAAACGAGTTTATTACTTCACTTTTTGAACTAATGTTATATTATAACATAAACTTAGGTGAGAAAAACATTTTTACTATAGTTTATTTGTATAAACCACATTATTATTTGCATATAATACAAGAAAACACAAATTAAGTAAAATATGAAACTTTTTTGGCCTGGGCAGTATTAGATAGCCACAATGGTGTTTACTGTTGAGGGGATATAAAACAGCAGTCTGCTATATCAAAGCATAAGGGATTAAGGTACAGAAAGACATAGAATAAGTGCTGTATCCAGAGTTTTCACATAGGGCAATCCCGACTTAAATTTTTCCCAATGCTGACCTGAATAATTTATATCTGGCATAAATACAAGATGAAAGGTACCACCACTGGAATCAAAGTATAACTAACATCAATAAACTTATACTGCATTTGTAGAAGATTTGTAGAAGCTTGGAGAAATATTCCTCTGGAGACAATACATAGTGTGAAAAATACACAGGATCAATGCCACATCTTTGTAGAGCTGTAATTGACAGTCAAGACTTTCCAACGGAATATTAATCATTTATTATTAAAATATTTGTACCATTGTAGTTAACATTATTTGTTGTTTTGTTAATTTCTTACAATGCTATTTTACTTTGTACTTTTGTATTGCTACATTTTATTTTATAATAATAGCAATTTTTAAATATAACACATCATCCACTACCCCATATCATCCTGTGGATGTTGTAAAAGGTGAACTAAGGGAAACCAGCAGAATGGGGATGGGGATGGGACATGCAGCTGCGTCTTTCTAACAACAGCTGAAAATAAAACGCTGCAGTTGCCAAGCATGGTAACTATGGAAAATGTCCCCTCTATGACGCAATCTATAGTAATCGTAAATAAGTATTGACCCTCGCATACATAAAAATAATTATCAAATTAAAAACCAAACAAAACTAAATATGTAATTTATTAAAAATAGAAGTCACTTGGTGTTTCTAATTATATGTGCACAACTGTATATAAAACACATACATAACATATTATGTATATGAAACTGGTAACAGGAAATTTTGTATTTAGATAATTTTTAATTTTACAGGTTTTTTTAGATAAGTATAATTATTAAGAAAATTTGTTATTCTTGAAAATTATTTTTTTCTTTCTATCACTAATTAAAACTTTGTAGCCCAGGAGAGCCATGTAACAAAATTTTTCCATGGGCTGCAAGAGTGCTTGTCATATTAATATTATGTAATTAACCTTCAGGTTCACAATTCTCTTATTACCCAGAGAGAAATTTAGAGAGTGTTTTTGTCTGTCTGTCTGTTTGTTCTGGCTAATCCCCGAAACGGCTGGACTGATTTCGACGGGACTTTCACTGGCATATAGCTGATGTTATAAGGAGTAACTTAAGAATAGAATTAGGGTTTCGCGCAACATAATTAAAACCCTAAATTACACGCGGGTGAAGTCGCGGGGAACAGCTAGTATTTACATATTATGTTAGCAACATTATTTTTATTTTTAAAGATTAATAACTAGTCGTTTTGAATGTGTTGTAATTGGTGAGGTGTGTGTATGTGTGCGTGCATATGTGTTATAATTTTTTAATTTAAATTATATTTATTTTTATATAAATTAAATTATTTTTAATTTAAATTATTAAATCTGAAAACAAATTCAATATATGATTTGATTTCAGTTGATAAAGAAGATTCTGATGACATAGATGAGAGATTGAAAGATGTAAATACTCCTGAAGACTCTATAAGCAGAGACAGAGATGACTGTACGCAAGAATCCACATCAGAAAATATAATTCAAGAAGAGAAAATTGATAATGAAGAGGTGGATGAAAAAAAAGACGAAGTAGGGAAACCAGAATTTGAAACTGCACCCAATGTTTCTATAGATGAGCCTCAGGAAGACCATACACAGGTACTGTAAGTTGACCTCTATACTAAAACGAAAATAGTATATGATGGTAAAATGTGGGTCAGTTGTAACATGTTTTGGGTTTAGAAGATATGTGCACACAATAGAAGGAACTTTATATGGATGGCTGGATTTGGAATTTTCCGATGTAAAGTGGGTAATGCATTTGTTTTGTACATTATCATAATTTTCAACCTGAAAGCATACAGCTGGACCTAGGCCTCTCCCATTGTATACAAGATTTTCTTTAATCGCCACACTAGGCAGGCGATTTGATGACCGTAATTCCAGCTATCTCGCACTTTGACGCTGGCCTATGTATTTTGCATTTGCCATTAATGAGAAGGTTATACCGTCATCTATCAGAAGCCATAAGATATTTCACATAGTCAACTCTTACGACCCGCGGGACGTCGTAATGGGGTAACGAATTCTCTTACGTCGCTATCACATGACAATTTGTTTTAAAAGGCAGGCACAAAATTGAGCATTTTTTCATTATAAAAATGCCATTGGTTATAGTTCTTTCACGAGTGCGACCGGCCCTTGGTTGTGGTAGACGTATCTGTATGCGTGTTAATGAGTGCGTGCGCGCGGTTGCGTTTACGGTTAGCAGTATGTATAGTTGACAGTACTTTGTGGCCGTCGTTACGTATGTTCATAGCGTCGGGGAAACAATAAGCATAAAAATTAATGCTGTTTTGTGTACAAACACACACAAAAACTCAAAATAGTTCCAACCTTTTAGGAGGAGTTCAGTGACAAACACACATACTGCTTTTTTTTTTTTTTTTTTTATAGGAGAGGGGGCAAACGAGCATGCGGCTCACCTGATGGTAAGTGACTACCGCCGCCCATGAACAACCGCAACACCAGGGGAATTGCAGATGCGTTGCCGGCCTTTTAAAAAGGAGTAGGCTCTTTTCTTGAAGGTCCCTAAGTCGTATCGGTCCGGAAAAATCCCTGGTGGTAAACTATTCCACAAGGAAGTTGTGCGAGGAAGAAAACATCTTCTAAATCGCACAGTGGTGGACCGCCAATCATCCAGATGGTGTGGATGGTATCGGGAGTTCTGCCGCGATGTGCGTTCGTGAAATTTGGCGGCTGGGATTAATCCGAACAATTCCTCAGAGCACTCCCCATGGTAGATGCGAAAGAAAATGCAAAGAGATGCAACATCTCTTCGCAGTGCCAATGAATCGAGCCGATCGGAAAGGGCTCGGTCGTCGACGATTCGAGCCGCTCTGCGCTGGATGCGGTCAAGTGGAAGGAGCTGGCACTGGGGAGCCCCTGCCCAGAGATGGGAACAGTATTCCATGTGAGGCCGAACCTGCGCCTTGTAAAGTTGCAGGCGGTGTGCCGGCATGAAATACTGTCCCGCTCTGCTGAGCACGCCAAGCTTTTTTTGCTTATATATAGATAACTACACTTTCTCATTTTTCACATCAATTCTGTATGTTTTATCATTAACTGTATTAAAGTAAACCATTTTAATGTAAATAATGCTTAAAAACTATATCATGTTAGTCTAAAAGTAAATATTTAAATTTTAACCATGTAAGTGGTAAAATATGTCTGCCTTTTTTCAGGCCCTAGACCCATTTGATGCTCTTTTGAGAGATATTAACGATTCTACGTCAGAGACCAAGGAAACGGCGACTCAAGCCACCGTAAACCTGGTGGATGAGGAAGATGACAACGACAATGCAGACCACGCTGACGACTTGCCACGAGATGACGAGGAAGAACATCATACAGGTATAATGACTAAAACAATTTTGTTTTAAAAGCCATCTGTAAAGTTTTAATAAACTGCAATACTAAACTCCTGTAATCGTTTTCCCAAAAGAAACATCTTTAGATGATAGTGTAGTCACCGAATTGAATGAAGAGCCGGGCGCGGATGAAGAGGTGTGCTTACTACCTGACACCGAACGCGAGATTTCCGATGCTGACAAGGCCGAAGCCGAGAAAGTTCTCGCTGAGAAGCGGAAGCAGGCTGAGGCGAAGGGTAATTGTTAATTGCTTTAACCATAATTCATGTTTTAATTAATGTATCATATTGCACAAAAAACTTCTAATTTTCTCGTCTGTAACTGTAACCCCAACACGTAAATTTTAAATGTAAAATAAGTAATAAATTGTTATTTAGCAGCTGCAACAGAAGCACAGACGGAGCCTAAAAAGGAGAATGAAGTACCAGTGGCAGACGAGACGAGGTATAGTACTGAAGAGCCTTCACGAAATGAGGAAGGTGAGGCAGGTGAAAATGCGAAAGGGGAAAGTGTTCAAGACAATGTTTCACAGGAAAATGGAGGTAAACCAATGATAGTATTTTGTAAAAATTCACAGCGCTGGATCACTATTATAGGACTTATAGTTGTAATTGCCTAGTTTTGGTTGGGCTGGTCTCAATGAGATCATTCGTGGTTCGAAATTTCATCTACGAAACTGGTTGTCTTACAATAAAGCCCCTAATAATTATTAATAACAAATAAGACTACTATTTGTTTTGTTGTTATGTGTAGTATTGTTATTTTTCTGTCCGAATACAATCTGGGCGTCTTCAAAGCAAGAGTGCATAGGCTTTTTTTACACTAATATAGTGCGATTTATCATCTAAGGCTACATCACTTACCACCAGGTGGGATTTTGGTCAAGCGCTGGCTTATAAAAACTTGAAAAAAAAAAGTAGTGATCCAATTGCTTAACAAAGTGGTAGGACTCCATCTGTTTGTACCCATGTGAGGTCTTGATGATTCACAAAAGAACAGAATCATGCAGAAATTATATTGTAGTTAAAACTGTAGTTTGTTAATATAAATAAAAACAAATCTATCAATTCCATGTTCCAGTCTGGCAGGATATGGTAAGACATGGAGAACCTAGTGTATTGCAGGCTAATTTAAAAATATGAAAATGTATACATTAACCTTTAAATAATTTATTTTGTGTGCGTGCGTGCGTGCGTTGCGTTGCGTTGCAACCACAATATATATAGCTGCAAGCACGGCTCTTCCACATATAAAAAGTATTTCAAAATAGTTAATTTTGTTCTTATGTCAAAATTAATAATCTAAATTTTCTAATAAAATAAAGTATTATTATATTGTCTTAAACTTTAAAGGAATAACAACACCATTTAATTGTGTTCTTATGTCAAAATTAATAAGTTAAATTTTCTAATAAAATAAAGTATTATTATAACCTCTAAAAGTGGCAACATCAATTTTTTCAATTTATAACACACCATATAATAACAACATAGTATCATAGTATAATAGTGAAATGTAAAAAATTATTTATAATTTACACCATAAAAAATAAAACAAATTATTTTATTTTATTTTATTTTATTCGTATGGTTTACTAACAGTCAACTAACACAATACAATCTTAAATAACAGAAAAGTATCTTAATCTAAGTGTTGTGACTACTTACTAGTAAACACAGCATGCAATATAACAATAACTTAAGTGGGTTTTGATTTTACTAAATAAAGTTAACAATTTTATAACTTTTTTTAATATTATAACTCCTGTGGCTAAACTAATTTATGTTATTTGATTATTAATCATTTGTGATGAATTAGTCTTGTCATTTATTGAATGGAACCTTTACGTGGTAGAGCTATGCTGCATCTAAATCGTAGTTGGTAGTACGATTGGATCGGCTCAACTGAGGTAGGACCACGCTCTCACAGAGTACCAGTAAAACAACAACTTAATGCTGCTGTGTTTTGTATAGTGAGAGTAGAGATACAGAGGCAATTTTTACTGGAAACGAGGCATTTCATCTCAGTCCTCTAGGGTGACAACACATCTGCATTTTGATCCTTAGGTGAGTAGTAGTAAATGTAGATGTCTAAAGGCCACAGCATCCACTTACTATCACATGGACTGTTTACTCGTTTGTCCCCCTTATATTCTATATAAAAAAACCCAGTGCCAGCCTGTCCAAGCATTCTGATTTGACATATTTTTACAGAAAAAGAAAATGAAGAATCATCAGAAGCCGAAGTAAGTTTTATATCTAATACCATACAAGAAATCAGTCCCTGCACTAGAACATGTGTTCAGTGTAAAAAAGAAACAGCTTGTAGTTACCGATTCACTACCAAAGAAGTGAAGGAAAACTACATTTGCGGCGAAAATTGTCTTAAATTATTTCTAGCTGATCATCCAGCTCAATACACAGTAGCTTGCAAGAAATATCTAATAGAAGAAATATTACCGAAGTCGCTTACATGTTCAGAATGTGAGGAGAAAAAGGTCTGCTACTTTTATTATAATTATGATGGAGAAGACACAAACTATTGCTCCGAAGAATGTTTACACAGTATGATGGCGGATGAAAAGGAAAAATATATTTTTAAAAGATTGCGGATAATAATGGAAGAGAAAGTACGAAAAGACGCCGAGTGTCTCGTATGTAAAGAAACGAAAAAATGTCATTACACTATGGTGCGGTATGGAAAATCACATACAATATGCGACCTTAACTGTGTGAAAACATTAAACGATGCAGAGGACGGAAGGTACACAATAAGAAATAGGCGGACGCCTCGAAAGCAGGCGCAAACTAACACAACGCAGGTTAACACAGCTCCAAGTAACCCTCCTTTGTTAAAACTAAAAGTAATAAGTAATGCTACAGATAAATATTTAGACGAAGCATATAAAATTCAAGCAAAAACTCCAGCAATGATTAAAGCAGCAAGAGAGGAAAGGGAACGCACATTTGTTCGTACATGCTCACAATGTAATTTGGTATTAACCTCTGAAGAAAAGATTTTAACATGGGAGACAATGGATTTCTGTAAAGAAACCTGTTTAGGCAGATATCAGAATAACATCGGGTCGCAGTGCGCTAATTGTTCAAACCCTGTACAACACACTAGTTTAGGAAAATATTGTGTGAGGTTTGGTTATGATATTCGGCAGTTTTGTAACTCGGGTTGCTTGGAAGAATTTAAAAAAGGCTTGAAGATATGTTGTTATTGTCAAAGAGATATATCAGTAGGCCATGAAGGTTTCTTGGCACCTGTGGGTGATAAAGGCCAGTTTAAGGATTTCTGTTCTCAAATATGTGTGGAAAAATTTGACCAAATGAGTAAAAGCCCAGTCCCTCAACCTGTTTGGGCTAAGTGCGCAGTTTGCTCATTACAGAAAGCCACAACTATAGAAGTGGAAGTCAGTGAAGATGTTTCACAGAGGCTATGTTCAGATCCTTGTTTTGCTGCTTTTAAATTTGTAAATAATATATTTCCAGGTTAGTAGTTGATATTCATATATATTTAGAATTATAATCTAGTAATATTATATTATTATTGTGGCAAGCAAAAGGATTATGTTATTAATCCCTTAATAATATTTAGAGTAGGCTATACACCCTCCGCTGAGCACTCTTCTCTTATTTCTAAGAGAGTTTTTAGAGCAGGGAAGAGTCAGCCATGCTGCCCCAATGCATGTTGACAGTCTTACATGTCCCCTCATGATGTTTTCATTCATCATCTAGGACATGGTAAAACACAGCATTTAAAATAACAATTAACAATAACATTGGAGTTGGCGGGGATCGGACTCGGCTGGTTCGCAACGCCGATTTCATATATATGTATGTATATTAAAGTAACACATTCTCACTTATCACACATTTTTATTAACATACCATATTCAATATAGCATCCTCAGTCCATTTCAATAGCGCGTTACATACCTTTATATTGCTAAGCCTAGGGTATTTATTTATTTTATTTAATTATTGACACACCAACAGCATAACATACAAAACATTACAATAATCTTCGTCTTATAAATAGTTTGGTATGCATGCCAATTACTGGTGCATACATCACTCTCATTAGAAGACATTAAATTAATTTAAGTTCAAAATAAATTTCAATTTACAAATTTTGAGTTGCAGCAAATTAATAAGTAAAAATCAAAAATCAAAAATCAAAAGTATAACAAAAAGAAGAATTTTAGTAGCATAAATATTAAATTACAAATCTAATTTACCAACAAAAATGTGCGGTAAGCTTTTTTTTCAGATTTGTCACTGAGTCATGAAAAATATCAAAATCTTTAATGGACGCGGAAAATCGATTGTACTCAGAACACATCCTTGATAATGGAGAATGTTTTAGAGCATTTGTTCTACTTACTGGTACAACAAGTATGTTAGTGAGAGGATTTCGTGGATATCTGTACGGGATTTTGAAATTTATTTCATTAAGCAATTCACTGCATGCCATCTGTCCTGACAACAGCTTTTTGAGGAATGTTATATCTAATATTATGCGGCGATTATAAAGTGACATCATTTTAAAGTGTTTCAGCCGCAAGTCATAGGTGGCCTTATGAGAGATGCCGGAAGTGTGATATGTCAGGTATCTAGTAAAGGATCTTTGTAGTCTCTCCAGACGTTGAGATGGTGCCGCGTATTGGGGACTCCACACAACTGATGCAAATTCTAGTTTGCTGCGAACCAGTGAGTTATAAAGGATTATTTTGGTTTGAGGAGAAACAAATCCTTTGGTATTTCTTTTAAGGAAACCTAACATCCTGGCCGCTTCTTTTACAGTTTTGTCCATGTGCACTTTGAATTTCAATTTCGTGTCCATTGTTACGCCCAAATCTCGAATCTCCTTAACCTCCTGTAACGTATCTAGCTCTAATTTATACGATGATGGCAATTGAACTTTTTTCTTTGTGTACTTAATGTGGTAAGATTTCTTCGTATTAATAATCATGCCGTTCAATTTGCACCACATATTTATTCCATCGAGATCAGCTTGGATGAGCTCCACATCATTATTTGAAGTAACGGTTTTGAATATTTTTAAATCATCGGCAAAAAGTGAGTATTTACAGTAATTTATAGATGAGGTAATGTCATTTATAAACACCGAGAAGAGAACAGGGCCTAAGTGGGATCCCTGTGGTACTCCTGAACATGCAACATACTCATGTGATATGTGACCGTTCAGCACCACAAACTGAAGTCTTTTTGCTAGGTATGAATTAAACCATTCCAGTAAGGTCCCACCAATACCAGACCCGCTCAATTTATGTATAAGAAGCGAGTGACACACCTTATCAAAAGCGCTCGAGAAATCCATGTATATACAGTCTACTTGTTGGCGTCTATCTATTTCTTTACTTAGATAGGACATAAATGACACCAAGTTCGTTTTGATAGAACGTCCTTTTCGAAACCCATGTTGAAATTCTGACATCCGACTTTCCAAGTGGCGCGTGACAATTGGGCAAACAAGGGATTCAAACAGCTTAGGTATACAAGAAAGTATGGATATAGGACGGTAGTTTTTGATGTCACTGCTGTCACCCTTCTTGTACACTGGAACGATCTTAGCTTTTTTCCACAATTCAGGAAATACCCCGTCATGCAAAGATCTATTGAAAAGAAGTGACAGTGGCAGAGTAAGAGTAGGACCGCAGCGCTTTACAAAAACAGGAGGGATCTCATCCGGACCGGCACCCTTGAAGATATCTAGTTTTTTAATGGCACGTTTAATTTCATGTTCACTGAATCTAATTACACTCAAATATGGCAAACCGTGCACTGCGGACTCTAGGCTATCAGGTAATACTGTGTTACTAAACACTGATGAAAAATTTTTAGCAAATAGTTCTGCAATTTTTGTACCAGTGTTTGCAATTTCGTCATCAAGGCTCATTTCGGCAGGTATAGTAGTTTCACCACCTCGCCTATCCTTAATATAGTTCCAGAAATATTTAGGATTCCTGACAATATTACCCTCGACCCGTTTTTTATAACTTTGTAGGCATGCGTCTATTATTTTCTTACTTCGCTCACGAAGTAATTCATACTCCAACCTATCGCGTGGATTTTTGTATTTCACAAATTTTTTTCTCTTGCTTTCTTTTTCCAAGATTATTCTGATCAGAGACCTGCTAAACCATGAGGGGAACCTGCTTTTTTTTGGCTTCAAAATAGGGACGTATGTTTTCACGGCATTGTTTAAAATACGGTAAAATACTGTGGTCATCTCGTTAACGTTTTGACACCTATCGAACTGTTGTGACCAATTAATTTCCCTAAGATGAGCCAAGATTAGATCATAGTTCGCTTTGAAAAAGTTGTGTCGAGGTTTTTGGGCTGGTTTAAGTAAGTTCGGTTTTAGTTCCGGTACAGTAATCAATAACGGAGGATGCTTTCGGTCAATTTTACTTATAACATTTAAGTAGTTAGAAACCTCTAAAGGAACACAGTTGGTTAGAACAAGGTCCAGCACTCTGCCATCCTCGTTAGGAATAGGGTTCATTTGTGTAATATTATTTAGCGCCATGAAATCAGTGAGTGCCAGACCCTGTGGTGAATCATAATTAAATGCACTGCATGAAACACCGTCCACACTGCGAGACCAACCAATGAAGCCCATGTTGAAGTCTCCCAACATTATAACTTGATCAGCTTTGTCCAAAATATCGTTAGTATGCTCTAAAAACCGAGTAAGGCTTTCCAGGTTTACTGGTGGAGGAAGGTATACCACACAAATTAGTATTTTGGTAACAATGTTATTTGTTTTTATATCAATTGAGACCCATAGATCCTCCGCATCGCTCTCCCAGCTTGAATGTCTGAAAGACGGTATATCCCTAGAAACAGCGACTAAAACCCCCCCTCCGTCTTTTTTAGTAGTTTCTGAGCACAATCGATCTCTCCTATAAACAATATAACGCTTATCTATAATTTCTAAGTTCGTTATATTGCTATTGAGCCACGTTTCAGTAAATACAATTACGTTGTAGTTATTAATCAGAATATTTTTAAAGACATCCTCTGTTTTAGTTCTTAAGCCCCGCACATTTTGATAATAAATATTTACAGGCATTGTGGCAAAAATTACTATTGACTACTACTTGGCTAATTTTAAAGCAATAACTTTAAGCTTTCGTCGTCTTTAATATAAATAGCATGACTTTGTTCGTTTTTCCTCGCAAGAATTCTTCCATCCCGTATCCACACAAACATGAACCCAGCCTCCTTGGCTTTCTTTCGGGCTGCAGCATGTAAATGTTTATTTGTGGGCGTCAGGTGTTCAGATACGAATACGGGCTCGCGACGTCCTCCGAGTCCAAGATGCTCGGTGTTGAGCTTATTATCCTTGTTCTTTTTGTTGAATCGTGTCACTGCAGCCAATAATTCATCGCGGTGTCGCTGACTGCGAAGCTTTACGATGACAGAACGAGGACGATTGCTCTCCTTGTTTAATTTGGCAATTCTTGTTACATGTAATATATCAGATTCAGCAATAGGACTCTCGACAATTCTACCAAGTTGTTCAACAGTGCTCAGGAGGTTCTCTGACTTGTGTTCGGGAATACCTGTAATTTCCACGTTACAAACGCGCATATTTCGCTCTATCTGCCCCAGTCTGTCCGTCAGGTTTTTAACCTGTGTTGTTAATTTTTCGTTCTTTGAAACCAGTCTATTGATTGTTTCTGATTTCTCGTTAACAGACTGCATAAGATCATCGTATTGTTTGCTTATAAATGACAGGGACTCTTGAAACCCAGATACTTGAAGGTTTAAGTTCGCTAGGTGCTCGGATACTAGAGATTTAATAGTGTCAGTAATTTCCTGTTTTATAATCATGCGCAACCTCTCCTCAGTTACACAAGAATCGCTGTTACCAGACTTGGAACATTTATTTTTTATTCTCGTAGTAACATTACTCTCCTCACTAGGACTCAGGATGGAATCTTCCTTAGAAGCAATGGGATGATTAGTTATACGTACAGGAGTATTCGAATTACCTGTTTTTGGTAGCTTACTGCGACATTGTTGGCAGTTCCATTTATTCCTACTTTCTGCATCCATCTGATAGAAGTGTTTAGATGTCAAGTTTGCGCAAAGCAAATCGTATCCAAGCTTACACGTGACACAAATCATATACTCCCTCCTTGGCAGAGAATTATGACACCCGGCACAAGTCTTCTGTGACGACATCGTATATAACCAATTTTTAAAACGTTGTAATTATTAAAGAGAAAAAATAAAATAAAATAAAATAAAATAAAATAAACCAAAAAAAAAAAAACTTTATGCGGGGATTTGATCTTACGCCCTAACGAGTGTTGTGTTAGCCGTTAAACTATGTGCAAGCCACTAGACCACTAAGTAACTGATCATAAGTTGCGAAATTTTTAATTCGTATGAACTTTTTACGATTTCTTCTCAATAACAATGAGTAGATAATAATGAGTACAAAGTCCAATCCTTTGTTCACAGTTAAATTTTTCCGTTAGCAATGGATGATTTCAAAACTACTTTTTAGTTTTAGCACTTATTCAGACACTTTTTAATTACCGTTTTACAACACTTCGTCAGCTTTTTATCTATTGAACACTCTGATACAACTCAATACTAAAATTTTGTAGATATTTCACCATTTATCAATTTTTTTCTTCCACAATTACAGAAACACGTCTTCTCTCAACAAGCGCCCGGGTGAGAACAGGGTAATAAATAAATAATTAAATGTCGATGATTAATTTTGATTGTGCCAGCACTCACTGGGGGCCTAAGCTCAGAACTCCACTGGCTATTAGTATTCAATAAATATGATATATCATAATAATATTCTTCATCAGCCTGTAAAAGTCTATTGCTGGACATAGGTCTTCTCACCTGCTATATGGAGAATTTGCCTTAATTGTTGCTTGGCAGATTGACAATCACAATAGTAGATGATTAACAGATGCTGCTGCCCTTCGCCGGTTTCATCATCATCATCATCATTACAACTATTTTCAAGTCCACTGCTGAACATGGGCCTCCCCCAAGGAATGCATGCCACAAAGCATAGTCCTGAGCCACTTGCATTCATCAACTTCCTGCATGTATTACCAGGTCATCACTACTACACTCTAGTAAGTCTTCGCCGGTTTAAGCCAGACATAATATATCCTATATTATGTCTGGCTTAAACGAGATTGTATACCATCATCATCAAAAATTTTCGGCATTATCTATGGTCGTCTCTTATGAAACCCACTGGAAGAACCTTGCATCCTCAGGGCTTATTAAAAATCATATATAATATATTTTAAAAAAACCTACCCAGTGTGGTGACTGTGAGCAGAGCAACCCTTTAAGGAAATGCGTAATATCCATATTGAGTTTGACCATGAAAAATGAGAAAAATTTAGAAAATGATCTTATTATATTCTATTTGATGCGACATATTAAATGTTTATAATATTTTAATTCTAAACAATTTAGTTACAAACATATATAAAATAAAAATTTTACTTAAGTGTTCACTTGCAGATCAATGTCGTTGGTGTAAAAAATACTTTGAAAGAAAATTGAACAAATGCTTCACAATTTACGAAAATTCCAGTCCATATTGTTTCTGCTCAAAGTCCTGTATGAATGTATACATTAGTAATTCACGACATATTGTGCCTTGCAACTGGTGCAAGGTGAAGAAATATAACTTTGACATGATCAGACGTGATCAGCCAAATGGACAGATGGTTTTGATGTGCTCATTGAATTGTTTGAATTTGTATCAAGTGTCTGTGAATGCTGTTTCATCAAAAAGGTAAGTAGAATAATAATGTTTGTAGTTTTAGGTTTAAAGATATTTATTCTCATAAAGACTTACATTAGTCACTTACATGAGATCATTAAAAAGATTAACAAAAATTTTAATTAATTATGTTTGTCATTGTAAATGTGTGTGTACTCAATTAACACATTCGTCTATTTTGTATAATTTTTTAAAACGTATTCTGCTAATTTTATTTTGAATGTGTTAATGAGTGTACATTTTTAATGTGTGCAGGTATGTTATTATAAAGCTGCGCTCCTTCATATGTTAATGTTTTTCTACCATAGGACATTCTAGTTTTAGGTAGGACAAAAAAGCAGTAGCTGAAGTTTGTAGCTAAGCTTAACGCATGTTTGTGACACTCAGAACTTAAAACAAGTAAATAAATAAGTGAAATTGGCTGGGCACCGCATGTCGCTGCCAACTTGAGTGAGCAATACATAGTACTAAAGAAGGAAACTGCGACAGGCAGCGCGCAGCCCCACTTTCGCTCTCTTATAATGTAAAGCTAAACTGTAGAACATAGGTTTCCCAATTGACTGCCTCATAGTTGTCATATTCCCCATGCCTGGCAGTGAACGGGTTTGGCAACAAAATTTTTGACGTGAAAACTTCTTTAGAGTTTTTGTGATTACAAACTCAATGTAATGAAAAAGCGCCACTAAAACGAGAAACATATACATCTACAGGATTAGGTCTGCGAGAGAATGAGACAGAATACAGTATACAGAGTTATTTTGCAAATCCTTAAATTCGCAATAAAAAAATATTGCAGGTCACTTATCGGTATAAAAGTATCCTATCAATCAAGTTGGACCAAACTGCACACACTGTACAAAATTTCATTGAAATCAGTTCAATCGTTTAAGATTTTATCGCGGATAAACAACGTGACACGTAATTTTTATATATAAAGATATATATATATATATATAGGCGAATGGTAAAGAAAAAATAATTATTAAAAATCGCAAACATTCTGTCCTTTTTATCTTTTAAATTCAGAATGTGTGGTAATGCATTATTTTAACCGATTGTCATTCATAAATATCTAACGCCTACTATTTTACTACGCACGCACACATTCTCAAGGATCGCTTGTTTGACCGAAACGTTGTGAATAGAATCGCACACAGGAGCGCGTGGTCCCGCGTAGTTGTTATAAATCACATTCAATTTGGGATAATTTCAAATAAAAGTAGAAGCCTTATTTACTCGTATTTTCAAAACTGCAATAACGGTATATATAAAATTTGGATACTCTTTGAAAAATAACCCAGTATAGTGAGTGTTTCCTATTATCTCTGTCTCCTTTTCTCAAGGTTTCACTTCTACCGTGTGTGATCAGCGTACATGTTTTTTTTTTAATTAACAGTTATAGTTTGGAAGATACTGCTGCCCATATCCTGGTTTGTTTCCCTCTGTCGCCTCTTACGACACCCACGGGACAATATAGGATAGTGGATATTCTTACACTGCCACTATGTGTTTACTGAGTATATTAATGTATATTGGGTATTGAGAATCACATTTACTTCACTTCAATTTTTGTTTTTGTCTATTAACTGTAATCTGTGCATCTTTAAAATAAATAATATAATTGACAATACTATAATTAGGCTTGCAACAACATATCGGAAATCCAGTAATATTGACTCTGCAACATGAAAAAGTGTGTGGAGACGTTTGAATTGGATGAACTAGAAATTTCGAAAGAAGAGAAAAAGTGAAGTGAGATAAATATATATGATATAATGTAAGCAATGAAAAGCATGAAAGCAGGTAATGATAGAGTATCAGTAGAAATACTGAGGGTTAGAGAGCGAGTGATGGATGGCCTGCTGTACACTTTCTTTAATTTATGCTGGCAACTTAAGCGAGATACCGTTATAGTCCCACTATATAAGGGATAATTTAAAATAAAAAATTGTGTACAACCGACTTCAATATAAATTATTAAGAATAACTCAAAAACTATTGCTCAGACCTTGTTCAAATTTATATGGGACCACATGAGAAGCACCAGCTTTCAAATAATGTATGTATTATTTGTGCATGAGATCTGAGTCCGATAAAGTCACAGCGGTGCTTGTACATGTGTGCGAGAAGCGAAGCGTGAGATAATCTAATCTAAAGAGCCTAATGAACATCGCTCGCTATGCGCCCTTGTTCGCTATTCGCACAAACAAGGGCGCACGCGGGAGGTGCGTGATAAACATTTTGCATTGAAAAAAATATCCATACAACAATTTACTATACCAAATTTATTATCGAAATCAATTATTTTAACAAATAATTAGATTTTAATATGAATGTAGTTTCACTTACTTTATTTGTGATGATGACTTAATTTTAGAGTCTTAACAATCTTTGAAATAAATCTGTTACAGGACAAAATGCGACATGTGCAAGCGTACATCACTGGCTCAATACCACTTGACTATGTCAGATGCGACAGTAAGAAACTTCTGCACGTATCAATGTGTCATGTCATTTCAGGTAATTTAATTATTTACTAAACATTTATAAAAGTGCGAATATTGTCATTAATTAGGCAGTACTCAATTATTTTTAAATAACCATATTTTATGTATTTAATCCGATTTCTCGAAGTTTTACATTGTTTCTCGCGAAAAAATATTACGTAATATTTGCCGAAACCCTCCCTCTCCACCACGTGAGATTAGGCGCGACCCTCCCCCCCCGTGAGATTCGGCGCGACAAAACCCTTTAACTGATCAAAGCAGATGTATGTTTGTTGTTACTTTATTTTACTTTTAACATTTTTCAGGGCCAATACTCGAAACACGCTGCTCCACTGGTGTCGGGCGACTCGGTGGAACAAACAAAAGCAGTGCCCACTGGTGCGCCCAGGCGTACTTACTCAAATAAGAATAATGGTAAGATTTCTATGTGAATATTGGCAACTTTATTTTGGACATGTCGATAATAATTTCACGCAACATCATTGTTGCGGGTGGGGGTTGCCCGCAGTTTATGCTGCTTTTTTGGTTTTATAAGTTGTGGTTTGTTTCATTTTTATTTTCGTTTAAATTTAATTTATTATTAGTGCTGCTTCATTAAGTTTCTCTTTTTGTGTCGTTTGTTAAATTAACATACTCCTTCTTTTTTTGTATCGCAGCTGCAGCCAAAAATCAGCAACGTTCGTCGGGTCTACCGGTGATATCTAACGTGAAGTCGCTAGCACCGCCGCCGGCACTGGCAGCGTCAGTAACTCGCGGCAAGTCGAAGCGGCTGGCCGCGGCGCAGGCGGCCCCCGCGGAGCCGGAGCCCCCGCAGGCGCCCGCTACCCCGCCCCCTCCCCCAAAACCACCCACCCCTCCGCCGCCACCGCCTCCAAAAATTTACAATCACGTTATTGTGAAAACGCTACCCCCACATGAAGTCGCGAACAAAGCGACTATGTCTAAACCTATGATGGTCTCAAAAGGCGTCTCGTGCCGTCCCCATCCTTGCACGAAGGAATGTCAAACGGACTCCAGCCTAGAGAAGAGAGTGTTAATACCGGTCCCGGTGCCGATTTATGTTCCTGTGCCGTGTGCGATGTGGTCCTTACCCTTTCCTATACCTGTACCCATTCCACTCCCAATTCCTACTCCTGTCTTTATTCCTACTACAAGAAATTCGGCTAAGGGTATATTGAAGGAGATCAACAAAATTCATGATAAAATGCCAACGGATCCATTCGAAGCCGAATTGCTGATGATGGCAGAAATGGTAGCTGGTGATAAGAAGAAAGATCAGAGTGATTCTGATACAGAAGACGAGAATGGTAAGATTCACATTTATTGTTTTTATTAAATTAAATAACCGACTGGCAATTTATTTTTATCAACTCTTATAATCAAACAGTCGGGGCAACTATTGTAATGCCTTCTGTTTGAAGTTGATTGCAAATGCCTACCAGTTCACATACGATTCATCAAGTTACGTTATATTAGATTTTCCTAGTCCAAGCATGTTAGAAGAGAGACTATCCTCAACGATGGTGTGTATATAATTAAATACGATATTTGCAGAAGAAAGCTTTAGTCCAGTTGGCGGAATGGATGGAAACAACGCGTTTGGTGAGGACATGCTTCAAATGGCGCTTAAAATGGCTACGGAGTATGAAGACCAGCCTGTTGATCTTGAGTCGGCTATGACGGCCAACACTATCACGCCGAGTTCGCATCCCGGTATGCCAGGTACGATTTTTTGTTAAAAAAAAAAAACGTAAAAAGTAAAGGTCTGTCTATATCTATACAAATAAATAAAATTGAAGTGTCTGTTTGTAATGTTAAAATAACAGCTATTTACTAAATGTATATGAAAAGTATAGACAGTACTTAAAATTTTGTCTGTCTGTCTGTTTGGTCGGCTAATCTCCGAAATGGCTGGACCGATTTTGACAGGATCGTCACTGGCAGATAGCTGATGTTATAAGGAGTAACTTACGATACTTTTATTTTAGAAAAATAATTAGGAAACCGCGCAAAATAAAATTAAAACCTTAAATTACACGTAGGCGAAGTAGCGGGAAACAGCTACTTTAATTTGTAAGTTTCTATTTGTAAAGTTTCCCATTTAAACTATAATTATTATCATCATTCCAGTCCATAATAAATCTATTTCTAAACATAGGCCTCTTCGGAAACATTAACAAAGCGCGGTTCGTTTTTCTAAATTCGATTATGAAAATAATCAGTTGTCAACATCACTACTAAATTGGTTTTTGGAGGTTTTGGTGGGAACTTGGTTGTTAGTAATTGTTGCCCCTGCACTGTCGTTTATAAAATGGTTTGAAGTAGATCTTAATACGTCAAAGTGGTGCGATTATTCGTATTACATTTTTGCACATGTGAACTAATAGTGGAAACAAGTACTACAATGATAATATAAACTATAAGATATTTTGTTCGCTCTAGTGTCTTAAGGACTTATCAGTATCGTCATCGACTTTTTGCTGGATTAAGTTGCTTCAAAATCTTCCAAAAACATTATAATATAACACATACCGTGAAACCTGTTAACTTTGACACTTTTGAAAGCTCTTAAAAATTTTACACCAATTTTCCAACTAAAAATGTACTGTGAGACTGGGCGTCAATGTTAAATGTGACATTATATTCTGCATAGATTTGGTATTTATTAATGATTTAAACAAATGAAGTTTTTGAGTATTTTGTCTATTTAACAGTTGAAGCGTTATTGTAGCTGCTTACTAAGTTAAGTTGAGATGGCTGTTTGCACAGGGCTGGAGGGCGAAGGCTTGCACGCGCAGCAGCTGATGGCGTTGGAGCAACAGCGTGCGGTGGCGGCGCTGCGCGCGGCGGCGCCCCGCAAGCGCGCGGCGGCGGTGGGCGCGGGGGGCGCGGCGGGTGCGGGGGAGGCGGGGGCAGCGCCAGGCGCGCGCTCCACGCGCTCCAAGCGGCGCCGCGCCGAGCCCGCGCCGCCGCCGCCCGAGCCGCCGCGCGAGCCGCAGGAGAAGCCCGACGCCAACATGTGCCTCAAGGTGCCCAACCTCACCCACACCCCCGCCATACTCAGCCTCACATAATAAAAAGTTTTTTTAATAGTCAAACGAGCACACAGTTATCCAAATAATAAATGGCTGCAGAGGCCCATAGACATCTACATAAAATGTAGATGCGCTGTCACCTCTAAAGACCAAAATGTAATGCCTCATTAGCACTAAAAATGGTCTCCGGTTCTCTACACTCACCATAAAGTGATATTTTACGCTGATATAATATAGCCGCAACGTGGCTTTACCTCACATAGCTTTTTTTTTTAATCTTAAAGTTTGTATATTAAGCAAACAAAGGTTCTCGAGTGACAGCCTCGTACCAATAAGCAAAACGTTAGGCGGCCGCTCACTAGATGGAGTAATCATAACCTGGTAAAGCATGCAGGAAATCGATGAATGCCGGTAGCTCACAATCATTCTTTATGGCATTCCTTAGTGGAGGCCTATATTCAGCAGTGCACTTATGAAGGGCTGTAATGACAAGTACTTTATAGAACTGTTCAATTCCTGACTTTGGCCTGCAACTAAGAATTTCTTAACAGAAAAACTTAATAACAGAATCTCAATCTAAATCAATTATTGAGGCGAAACCCGGCCTAGAACTTTGAACCACATGATCAGTTACACTTACGACCACACAGTCCAATATACATCCCATAAAAAAATCAACCCGCCACCAATTTTTAGGTGTAAATAATATTGAGCCAAATACAATTTTTTTTACCAGTTTAAAGGAGCATGCGGTTCACCTGATGGTATGTGGCTACCGCCCATGAACAACTGCAACACCAGAGGAATAGCAAATGCGTTGCCGGCCTTTTAAAAAGAAGTAGGCTCTTTTCTTGGAGATCTTTAAGTCGTATCGGTCCGGAAAAATCGCTGGAGAAGGAAGTTGTGCTAGGAAGAAAACTTCTTGTAAATCGCACAGTTGTGGACTGCCAATCATCCAAATGGTATCGCGAGTGTCGCGATGTGTAATGTGCGATTGTGAAATTGAGAGGCTGGAATTAGTCCAGACAATTCCTCATAGCACTCCCCGTGGTAGATGCAATAAAATATGCTAAGAGATGCAACATCTCTTCGCAGTGCCAGCGAGTCAAGCCGATCAGAAAGATCTCGGTCGCCAACGATTCGAACCGCTCTGCGCAGGAGCGATCAAATGGAAAGAGCTGGCACTGAGGAGCCCCAGCCCAAAGATGGGAACAGAATTCCATGTGAGGCCGAACCTGCTTCATGTAAAGTTGCAGGCGGTGTGCCGGCATGAAATACTGTCCCGCTATGTTGTACACGCCAAGCTTATTAGAGGCCGATTTGGCCTTCTCTTCCAAGTGACCACGAAACTGCGCGACACTCGATATGTCGGCGCCGAGAATAACGATACTGGCTAAGGCAACAAGGGGAGTGCCTTGAAACTGAGGAGATACGACAAAGAGGTTCTTTTTAGCGGTAAACGCGCAAACTTGCGTCTTCTGGAGATTGACCTGGACTAAACTTAGTCAACATTTGTGTCTGAAGTCGAGACTTTGTTCAACAAAGTCTCGACTTCAGACACAAATGTTGGTTCCGGTACTCGGTGACGTTTACCTGAGAAATATTGGCACGGCCGGTGTATAAAGCATCACCAGTGCCATTTTGTCGTCCGTATAGCAATAAATGTTACCGGTTTGCAACATATCATTGAACTGAAATAAAAAGAAACAGCATTAATGGGCTTGTAATTGGAGCATGCACCGTCTACAACGACCTCTGCTCTGTCCAATTGCTCAATTTCTCGAGAAGACCATAGGCAGGAATATGAGCCATCAAGCCCACTCGACTTGTTGACGTCCAGGGAAAGGAGTGCTTTGCGCACCGAGTGCTGTGTTAACAGTATATCCTACATGGAGCACCCGCATACCGCGGGTTGGTCGGCGGTGTGTTCGCCCCATCATCGAGAGTGGAGTTGAACGCAAAGAAAGAGCCTAGAAGATCGGGTTTCCCCTTTGCGGCATGTCTCCAGTGAGTCGTCCTCCATGTGCAGTGATGGCGGAGATGGCTGACAGAAGTTCCCTTGGACAGCCTTGGCGAGAGACCAGAATGCACGTGTTCCCGAAGGAAGTTGAACTAGTTTCTTGCCAATTCTGCCGATGTGCTCTGACTTTGCTTTGGCAATGACACTTTTGTAAGAACTAGAGGCGGAATTATACTCCTTTTTAAGAGCGCTGGTGTTTGCATCCCGAGACGTTGATGCGTCAGCTCAGACCCGGTAGTACTCCTGCTTACAGCGTGATGCTATTTTACAAGAGCGACCACACTATGGCTGGGATCTGCCTTCGACGGGCACCACAGAAGATGTAATAAAAAGTTCCATACCTTGAAGTACCACATCAGCCAAAAAATCCGCAACAATGTTGGGCTCATCCGGCGAGAAGCAAACCCAAGAGTAAGATGCAAAAAAAGACAGCATCCCGTCCCAATCTGCTGACATAAGGTGCCAAACACGACGCGTTGTGTGCGTTAGTGGCACCGTAATCCAGATCAGACAATGGTCCGAAGAGCCAACAGGGGCATCGACGGAGACCTGATATCTGTCCGGATGAGTGGTTAACAGAAGGTCCAACAGGGAAGGTACATGATCCTCCACATCTGGGATCTGCGTAGGCGATGTAACCAGTTGCGTCAGACCATATGCCAAGGCAAAGTGATAAACAGATCTACCCGCATGATCGGTTAAACGGGAACCAAGCCATTCAGCATGATAAGTGGGGGAGGGATTCTGTGAGGGTGTTCCACCCCGGTTAGAGCCGGCTCATCCATGCGACAGCAAAAGCTGCCGCGTGGCTCTACCACTGTTGTTGTGTACACTGTATTTATATTGGTTTCTTTGCTTTATCAGTACACTTTCGGCGTAAACGCGTGGAAGCAGTGGGTGATGACGAAGAACGCGGAGATCGAAAAAAGCTCAGTGCGACGCAAGCCCTTCAAGTCAGAGATTCTTCAGTTGACGGCCGACGAACTTAATTATTCACTTTGTCTCTTTGTGAAGGAAGTGCGCAAGCCCAACGGAAGCGAATACGCACCAGACACCATTTATTATTTGGTTTTAGGTTAGTTGTTACTATTTATAAAATTAAACATAATTGCAATGTTACACTTTGTTAAAATGACATGCAGTTTGTGTTTTATTAACAGATAATTTATATTATCGTAGTCACCATTATTGATAATAGGCTAGTAAACATTTTTTTTTTCATTAAAATGAACAAATAACACATTGTGCTATTTTGTGCAATAACAATTATAAATTAATAAAACTTGAAAGTTATATATAATACCACCATAATGAGACATCCAGTAAACAAATTAAAAGAACTTTAAAAATAAAAGAAAACAGCCACATCTTTCTTGTATTGTTCTTGAAAATTCATAGGTATAATCGGTCCAAGCTGCAAATGTTTAGCTCGGTCGATCGGACGCAGCGCGACAGTAATAGATCTTTATAAAAATCTATCCTAGAATTTAATTTACCGTAAAATTTTATTTCCATTTCTTTATATTCTTTATGTTAATTACTTTCGTAGAATTTAAGCAATATATTCGGAGAGGGATCAAAAAATAATAAACTACCTTTATTTTTCAGGAATTCAACAGTATCTATTTGAAAATGGAAGGATAGACAACATATTCACAGATCCTTACTACGAGAAATTCACAGATTGCTTAGACGAAGTTGCGAGGAAATTTTCAGTTTTATACAATGATTCTCGTGAGTATCATGTTTTTCAATCAAATAGAGTGATAAACAAAGTATGGAGTCATGACTATGAACAAAGGCTTGTGCTTATGTATCGCCGCTAGTTTTAGATTCGAATCCGAACCACAGCAAACAATTGTTGAAAATCATAAATTTTTGGTTTTCGGTACTGATTTTGTTTTGAACGCTTCTACAGTATATCCTGTCTCATCCCATCCATGTGACGTTATCCCACAATCGTTTCGTCTGTCATGGGTATTTCAGGAAGAGTTGGTGCTTCAGTGTACATCTGTTTTCCTTTCTATCTATCTCTCATCGTCAATAATATATAGGTGTGATATTATCAACCCATTAGGAATTTCTTACTAAAAGTTTTTTTTTGTACTTAAAGTTCACGCGTTCTGTCTTGGTCGGTCTAAAGTCAGAGAGCCCTCGGAGACATTCACGCATGTACACATGTCTGTGTTAGTTTGTGTAGGCAAAAAAATATCACAATGTTTTTACTGCTCCATGCTTGCCGACTTATTAAAACATTAAAATGCAAATTACATAACTATCATTCAAGTGTGATTACTTAGGGACCGTCAATATAAAAAAATATTAAAGCAATTTCATTATTACACATATGGAATTATATTCTAGGGCAATTCTGTTGACATTCAGTCCACATTTGTTTTGCAAAAAAAGTGCTTAAAGATTATGTATAATATTAATCAATATGACTCATTAAGGAATGTATTTATAGATTGGTAAGTCCTGACGTTGACTTGTATATACATACTTGAAATTTCTGTGTTTGTCAAAGATAACCAACAACATTTTAATATTAAAAAAGAATAAAAAATGAACTTGATATGTGCATTGTTAAATCATCTAGTTACATTTATAGTAAAAGTATTTTAATAAGTGGAATCAGAATCTAACCATTTACCTATATACATTAAATCATTAGAGAGCCCAAGATTTAAAAAAAAGTTAAAAGAATGGTTATTATCAAAATGTTTTTATAATTTAGATGAATTTTTTGGAAGTAACTGTTGATTTATTGTAGTGCTTTATTTTATTTTTTATTATATTGTACGTCCGAAATGGACAAACTGTTGTAACAATACTCTGTATTTGTAAGACCTCATGTACACAGTTATGACAATAAATTATTATCTTATCTTGTCTTATCTTACTACATGGGTATGCCTCTTACTTTTTTTCACAGAGTACATAGTGACGAGGGTCGAAGAGGAACATTTATGGGAGAGTAAGCAGTTAGGCGCACATTCTCCACACGTTCTTTTATCTACGCTTATGTTTTTCAATACAAAGCACTTTAATTTAGTGGTAAGTTCATTTGTCTCTGGTTAAATATAGCATCTAAGTATCTATTATGGTGTAAATATACTTTAGAGCGATTTTTCATCGCTTGATACCGATAACGCTATATCGACATCGACATACCTTACCGACACCGATATTGTAGGGATTATACAGAACTTCCATGCCTAAACTTAACTGTCATATTATTGTTGTACACGCACCTAGTTGCCCAGACTAAGGTCGACCATACAGGGGCCCATACAGCTGTTAGATTCGACGGACAACTAAGTGTGGGGCCAAATGCCTATGGATATTTAATATATATGGATTAGGTACTTAATGCGACTTACCTGGTTCAGAAGCGAAGACGGACCACAAGGCTCGTTCAGGCGTTAGGTGTAGTGAATGTAAGTAGTGTGTGAGAAGTGTATATATGTTTAACCTGAATTAGCCCTTTTTAATCAACAGCAACCCTGACTCCAGCACCGCCACCCTATGTGGTATCACTCCAGCGGCGTCACTCGGTGTCACTCAAAGTCTAGCGTCCCTTAGCACAAATCTATAATCTAATACGAACGCTGGTTCTCGCGGGTCACAAAGTTTAGCGGTTTTAACCGACACAGGAAAATTCCGCCGAGTTAAATCAAATGGCACAAAGCAACTCGTCGACGCGTATTAATATTATCAAAATGCACTTATGCATGCAACCACTATACCACTTGACTCTAATTAATTGTAACGACGTTAATTAATCGCTCAAACTCAAAATTCAGCATCATTGACACGTAAAACAAACAAAAAAAAACAACGCAAAAATGAGAGGCACTTAAATCGACGTTATAATTCCGCACGCGTCCTTTACAACCGGTAGTTCCTCACAATGTCAGTCTATCAACTTTATTGTACATTTAACTAACTTCAAAACTCAACTAAATCCCGTTAATTATAATCAAAAACGTAACACGCGGCACGACTGATGAACGGTGGGTCAAAGTTCACTTCCGTTCACTCAGCAACAAATTATTTCGAGAACCGATCGCGACCTTCTAAGGCAGTGATCACGCGACCCGAGTAGACTCACTGCCATACTTAGACAACCTAATCCGAGGCGGTCTTCACGAAACACATTTTAAGTAGCGAAGTAACGCACAAATACTGAAAATCTAGACCATAAAACCAAAACTGGTCGCACGAAATCGCTGCCACGGTCACCACAAATACGTTAGCTTGAGTAAACAGTGGCTTGAGGGCGACGGCGCCGTTGCCCTCAAGCTACTGTTTTCGCCCACACGCGCCAAACGCTGGGAAGCTGCATACCGATGCCCCTTCCCCGCGACGCGCGTGACACCTAACACCATCGGGCGATTCGCTAAGTCGAAGGCGATCGGATGCCGTCTCAAATGACCATTTTTGGGCCTAAAGAATTGTATTTTTCAATGTGGCAGACAACAATTTATATTACCATCCACTTTACAGACGTCGTAAATAAGAAATATTGTTGAACAGTTTTTTTACATCGCAAGTTAAAAGTAAGACACGATGAAGGAAGGGGATACAACATTATTCATCAAGCTAAAAGAAGATCCCATCAAACTTTACATCTTTCGAACAACTTTAAAATAGTTTTAGATTTAATAAATAAAGACAAACAGCACACACGTTTTTGCTTTTCTTATCTTTGTGCATGTACGTTTATTGGCGACATTGCCGTGTAGTGGCCGTGTAAGAATATTAACTATCCCATATCGTCCCATGATAGTCTTAAGAGGCCACAAAGGAAAACAAAGCAGTCTTCATAATAACGACTAATTTAAAAAAAAAAACTGCGGATGCTATCCATGGCATATGGCAACTATGTGACATTCTATGGGGCAGACCTTTGTTCAGCAGTGGACTTTAATAGGCTGTAATGGTAACGGTGCATTTACGTTACACAATCTTGATTTAATCGGAATGATTCTTTTTTTTTTATAGAATAAGGGTGACAAACGAGCACACAGTCCACCTGATGGTAAGTGGTTGCTGTGGCCCATAGACATCTACATCTATCTTCGTTTTCGAATTAAAATGCGTTGCAGATGCGTTATCAGCCGTGAGGACTAAGATAGAATGCCTCTTTTTCCAGTAAAATGGGTCTTCGGTTCCCTACACTCACCATACGAAACACAACAGCATCAAGCTGCTATTTTACGCTGGTATTCTGTGAGAGCGTGGTCCTTCCCCGGTCGAGCCGACCCATTCGTGCTAGAAATAAACTTAATATAGCTGCAGTATGGCTCTACCACGTAAAAAATTCTGGTGAACGGACGTAATATTGACATGTCGTCGATATATTGATGTTGTGTCAAACTGAAAAAGCATCATAGGTCGCTGCATACATTTCAGTGCCCTGATATGTTTGAGCCTGTAGCGACCACGATATATCGTCATTGTTCAATGAATCAATCGGCCCATGAAGAAACGCTTTAATTCAAGGGATAATTGTGATTGTAAAATGAATCTTATCATACAAAGGAACATGCGCTAGTTTATCTAATTTATCTGCTTTCAATGTTTTTTTGGAGCATTTTAGAAGCCTAAAGGGTTTTTAAGTGCTTTTAATTTCCTTTCCCACCCATTGTGTAAAATATTATAGACTTACATTATACAAATATAATATAAATACTTAATAATAAAAGAAATAAAACAAGCCTACAATTTTTAATTATCTGTCATTGTTTACAACTTTTTTATAAAATTAGGGTAACAAACAAGCACACAGCCTAACAGGTCCATAGACATCTACATCTATTCTCGATTAAGAATCAACATGCAGAATATTTATTTATTTATTTATTAAATCTTTATTGTGCTGCACATTGAATGTTACAATGGGTGGACTTAATACCTTATGGCATTCTCTACCAGTCAACCCTGGGAGAATTAGACAAGTAAAAGTTGGTAGGTGCTAAAAATGTTAAAATGACTAGACATATATTGTATATAAACATAAAATATATTCGCATACGTACTAATAATACATATAGAAAAATAATATAAATAAATAAATTATGAATATATATAAGTATTATATATTTATAATATATATAGAATATGTTGTCAAAGCTTTGTAAAATAATATTAAACATTTGCTGAGTAAATGACCATGCTGTAATTACTTTCTAGACCGTTGATGAACACATGCAGTTGTCTTTCTCACACATAATGAAGCATTGGAAACGAAATCCAAATCAGCCGGGACAAGCTAAGATACCTGGCTCGAGAAATGTGCTATTGCGCTTCTATCCGCCACAGTCTGCGCTCGGTGAGTATCTTTTTGCCACATGGTAGCCTAAAAATAAAAATTTAAATCTTCCGAGTATATAATAATATAGCAGTTTAATTTAAAAAAAATATTAACTATTTAGTAATTATTGCAGTTGTGATAATAAGATACTATATTTAATGTATATTTATCATTTTATTTTATATATTTATTCAGCCCAACCAGATGAGAATATTCTATAAATACCCCAGTATAATAATAATAATAAATTTTACTGACATATTGATTTAATAAATCTATGCAAGAACAGTGAGCTAAGCAATGTTCAAGAAAAGATATACAAATATGTTTCCGTTGGACCCCAAACTAGGATAATCTTGTATCTTGGGGTCCGAGCCGATATTGATATCGAAAATATAAATAATAGAAACAATAACATTAAAATCTTCATGAATCCGAAAACATCCACTGCTGGCTATTGTATTTTCCCCACTGTGGAGAGGATTCCCCTTAATCATCAGGCTTGGCGTAGATTGATGAACGCAGTACCAGACATTTTGTAACTTCGACGCCAGTTAGGATATTTAATGCCTGATGAACGCAGGACCAGAAGTTTTGTAACTTTAACGCTACTCCCCGTTACGTCGCCAGTTTGGATATTTTACGCCTGACGAACGCAGCACCAGACGTTTTGTAACTTTGACGCTATTCCCCGTCACCAGTTAGGATATTTTACGCCTGACGAACGCAGTACCAAACATTTTGTAACTGACGCTATTCCCCGTCGCCAGTTAGGATATTTTACGCCTGACGAACGCAGTACCAGACGTTTTGTAACTGACGCTAAACCCCGTCGCCAGTTAGGATATTTTACGCCCGACGAACGCAGTACCAGACGTTTTGTAACTGACGCTATTCCCCGTCGCCAGTTAGGATATTTAACGCCTGACGAACGCAGTACCAAACATTTTGTAACTGACGCTATTCCCCGTCGCCAATTAGGATATTTTACGCCCGACGAACGCAGTACCAGACGTTTTGTAACTGACGCTAAACCCCGTCGCCAGTTAGGATATTTTACGCCCGACGAACGCAGTACCAGACGTTTTGTAACTGACGCTATTCCCCGTCGCCAATTAGGATATTTAACGCCTGACGAACGCAGTACCAAACATTTTGTAACTGACGCTATTCCCCGTCGCCAATTAGGATATTTTACGCCTGACGAACGCAGTACCAGACGTTTTGTAACTGACGCTATTCCCCGTCGCCAGTTAGGATATTTTACGCCCGACGAACGCAGTACCAGACGTTTTGTAACTGACGCTATACCCCGTCGCCAATTAGGATATTTAACGCCTGACGAACGCAGTACCAGACGTTTTGTAACTGACGCTATTCCCCGTCGCCAATTAGGATATTTTACGCCTGACGAACGCAGTACCAAACATTTTGTAACTGACGCTATACCCCGTCGCCAATTAGGATATTTAACGCCTGACGAACGCAGTACCAGACTGTTTGTAACTGACGCTATTCCCCGTCGCCAATTAGGATATTTTACGCCCGACGAACGCAGTACCAGACGTTTTGTAACTGACGCTAAACCCCGTCGCCAATTAGGATATTTAACGCCTGACGAACGCAGTACCAGACTGTTTGTAACTGACGCTATTCCCCGTCGCCAATTAGGATATTTTACGCCCGACGAACGCAGTACCAGACGTTTTGTAACTGACGCTATTCCCCGTCGCCAATTAGGATATTTTACGCCTGACGAACGCAGTACCAAACATTTTGTAACTGACGCTATACCCCGTCGCCAATTAGGATATTTAACGCCTGACGAACGCAGTACCAGACTGTTTGTAACTGACGCTATTCCCCGTCGCCAATTAGGATATTTTACGCCCGACGAACGCAGTACCAGACGTTTTGTAACTGACGCTATTCCCCGTCGCCAATTAGGATATTTAACGCCTGACGAACGCAGTACCAAACATTTTGTAACTGACGCTATTCCCCGTCGCCAATTAGGATATTTTACGCCTGACGAACGCAGTACCAGACGTTTTGTAACTGACGCTATACCCCGTCGCCAATTAGGATATTTAACGCCTGACGAACGCAGTACCAGACTGTTTGTAACGCTATTCACCGTCGCCATTTTGGGTATTTTATGTCTGATGTAAACGAGATTGTTATACCGCCATCCACTGAAAACCGTCTGATGACAGCGTAAGAGAATTTAGTAATTTTGTCCTGGAGGTGTCTTAAGAGGCGACTATTGGATATTATGACAAAGACATGAATCATCTCATTTTGTGTTGCAATAAAAAAAAATATAATTCTCAAATTATTTGCAGAAGCGAATTCACGAAAGAAAAAGGTATATGAACAGCAGGAAAATGAAGAGAATCCTCTAAGGTGCCCAGTGAAATTATACGAATTTTATATTTCTAAGTGGTAAGTACTTTGTTTCTGCAAAACTATTGTCTTCTCTGGATACATATACATTTAAAAAAAACAACAATATATATGATCATATATTTCGACAGTAATAATAATTATTTTAATTATAATAATAATTTTTCAGCCCTGAGTCCGTGCGTACCCGCAACGACGTATTCTACCTGCAACCAGAGAGATCTTGTGTTCCCGACTCACCCGTATGGTACTCAACGCAACCGCTCAGCCGCGCAGCACTGGCAAAAATGTTGCACCGCGTCAAGATGGTGAAAGAGATAAACATCGCACTGTTAACGAGCTAAGGTACCATCATACAGATATCCGCAACTAACAATCATACCAAAACGACCAACTCAAATCAGTGAGTGCTAAGTGCTAGGGTAACTTAGCACTCACTGCCCAGTGTGGTTAACCTATACAAATAAATAAAATTGAAGTGTCTGTTGTAATGTCAAAATAATAGCTTTTTACTAAATGCATATGAAAGTATATGCGGTACTTATAACAAAAACATAATTTTTAAAATCTTTCTCTGTTTGTTCCGGCTAATCTCCGAAACGGCTGCACTGATTTTGACGAGACTTTCACTGGCAGACTGGCAGATAGCTAATGTTATAAGGAGTAATTTAGGCTACTTTTATTTTAGAAAAATTATTAGAATTCCGCGCAAAAAAATTAAAACCCATAAAATGTAACCGTAATAAATTCCACGCGGGTGAAGTCGAGGGGCACAGCTAGTTTTTCATAAAATTGAAGTGGCAAAAGAACTTACAGTGCACCGATTCTAACTGGCTACTACAGCTTATGAACACTTGCAATCAACTTCAAATGAATAAGATTGCAGATGCACTGTCATCTTTAAAGGTCTAAGATGGTATGCCTCACAATTTGTAAATATATTAGCTCTCTACACCCTTCAAACCAGTACACAGCAGTGCTATGCTCTGCTGTTTAACTGCAATAGGTGTGAGGATGGTACCTTTTTTTATAGGTGTGGTTAACAAATGTGCACACTGTCTGTCCACCTGATGGTAAGTGGTTGCTGTGACCCATAGACATCTACATATTATATCCTCGACTATGAATCAAAATGCAGATGCGTTGTCATCCGTGAGTACTAAGATGGAATGCCTCATTTCTAGTAAAAAGGGTCTCCAGTTCTCTACACTCACCATACGAAAAACAGCAGTGTTAAGTTGCTATTTTACGCTGGTATTCTGTGAGAGCATGGTCCTTCCCCGGTCGAGCAGACTCATTCGTACTACAACTATACTACATAGGCTGCACTAAAAGTATCGGGAATGGAATATTTCCACTGTTCCTGTCATATTAAAATCTTTTTAATTGAAAAGTCCTTGGTTTTTAAATTGAATACCATTTATTTATTTAAAAAAAGATTCTCGGTCTTGTCGCAAGATTTTGTCAAACTTGTTTAGTCGTTGAGAAAATGGAATTGACTCTAGAAAATTCAAGAGCGATGATTTATTATGACTTTCGAAGTGGTTTAACACAAAAACAGTGTGTTGACCGGATGATTTCTGCATTTGGTGATGAAACCCCATCCAAAACCACAATTTATCGCTGGTTTACTGAATTTCAACGTAGACGTGTCAAGCTCAATGATGATCCCCGTCAAGGTCGTCCAAAAACTGTAGTCACCCAAGAAAACGTTGATGCTGTGCGTAAGCTGATTGAGGAAGATCGACATGTGACATACCGAGAAATTCAGGCAACTAGACATTGACATGAGTCAAATACAAATAATCTTGCATGAACAATTAGGTGTAAAAAAGTTGTTTTCCCGATGGATACCGCATTTGCTCTGTGAAGAGCAAAAAGCGGCTCGCGTTACTTGGTGCGTCAGAACTCTCGAAAGATTCCACGCAGGATCCTCAAATGCTGTATACAACATCGTATCAGGTGACGAATCCTGGATCCGTACGAACCCGAAACAAAAAACCAGTCACGAGTTTGGGTGTTCGAAAATGAGTTAAAGCCAACAAAAATTGTTCGTTAACGGAGTGTTGCAAAAAAAATGGTGGCCACGTTTGTCTCCAAAACCGGCCATGTTACGACTATTCCTCTTGAGGGACAAAGAACGGTTAATGCAGAATGGTATGCTAGCATTTGTTTGCCACAGGTTGTTTCTGAACTCCGTAAAGAGAACTGCAACCGCTGCATCATCCTCCATCACGACAATGCGAGTTCTCACACCGCACACAGGACAAAAGAGTTTTTAGAGCAAGAAAACATAGAATTATTAGACCATCCGCCGTACAGCCCCGACCTAAGCTCTAATGATTTCTATACTTTCCCTAAAATAAAGAATGAATTGCGTGGACAGAGGTTTTCATCACCTGAAGAAGCTGTGGACGCCTACAAAACGGCCATTTTGGAGACCCCAACTTCCGAATGGAATGGTGGCTTCAATGATTGGTTCCATCGTATGGAAAAATGTGTCAAATTTCGCTGAGAATACTTCGAAAAGCAATAAATACATTTTTAAATAGTAATGTTGTATCACTTCCTTGATTCCCGAAATTTTCAGTGCCGCCCTCGTACTAATATAGCTTCAGCATGGCTCTACCACGTATAAAAGGATTTTTAATAATCCTAGATAGATCATCCTCTGGGCTGGGTTATATGCCGTTCCTTATCACTCATCAACTATGACATCATTACACTTCATTCTCATAGAATTACTATAGAAATGTTTTTTTTTTTTGCTTTTATAACTCAAAAAGTATTTCAATTGCCTAATGTGTCAAATTTCTTAATTCAGTGTTAAATAAGCTTAGTATTTTTATTTACAGATTTCACAACACAGTCACATGATGACTTCAAACATACATCAGTTTTCACCAGGATCCTAATTACCAACACATCTAAATCCGAACTATGTTAACTAGATCTTTGTGATCTGTCTAGAATCATCCACTTAAAATGTAATATTAATAACAATGTATATTTTTTCTACTTGTATATCAGCCTGTGAAATGGACATTCAATTGTTATTTTATTGCATAGTTAATATTAAAATGTTTCTTTTATAAAGTTGCAATTAATTAGCCCTAAGTACTCTGTGCGGGACTGTTTTTGTATGTACAGATAATATAATGGTTATGATTCTATCAATTTTATATCATATGTCGATTTTCTTATTTATAGATTTTTTTTTTAAGATGAATGGTGGCGTGAAATTATTTGGACCATATTGAAGTTAAAGATCTATGTGTTTTTGGGAGAAACATTCTAAATTGTACATACTGACGCCAAGCGATTTGCATTAAATAATTCTCCTTGGCTTTAAAAAAAGTGCTTGCAAGCATTTCCAATATGTGAGGAAATTATGTTAGATTTAAAAGCTATATTACATTGATGTAATATTTAACACAGTTAGAATTTAAGTGAAGTGATTCCAAGTTTTTACTTTAAAAAACGCACCTTTGTTTTTGTAATATTCATTTTAAAATACTGATGATTGATTTTATTATTGTCACAGATAAAATTTTATTAAAATAACTAGCAGTAAAAGAGTCAGATTCGTATTATATTTTAAGTATAATGGTATCAGTTGTAAGGTTTAGGTAGGTTACTGCTGTGTAAAAAGAATACTGATTCTCATATAATTGAGTTTTATTTTTATTCCTTCTCATAATAGTTATAAACTATTAATATGTTTATATGAAAATATAAAATTAAATTCGTTGCTTTTTATAACCAACACAAAATATAGGCTCAGTCTCTCGTCCGTCTTCGTTCAGCCCGTGACATTGATCACAATATCGATATTGTTATATTGTATGTATGTGTGTGAAATATTAATTGTTTTTATTTGTTATGTGTGAGGTTTGGAATGACAGACGATTGTTTTTTTTTTGTGTGCAGATTTAACCCCGCAAAAACTGACAGATAGTTCTGTATCGGGGGAAAACGCTATGGCTACTCGCCTCCGGTCCGCCAGTGGCCCGTGTTGCTCTATGATAAGTCAGAGTGAAAACATCTTTGTGACAACAGGCGTTATGGATATAAACAAAAAAGCTTGTGTTGCCATATTAATATGTGAACTTCTTAACTATTAGGAAACGCACAACAAGAAAGCGGTGGTGTAATTAGTTGGTTACGAAAGTAAAAGGATTATAATAAATATTTAAAGGACAAACAGAAATCTAAAAAAAACCCGCATAAAATGAGATATATCTGACGTGAAACACCAACGCTTCGGACATTTTTCACTGTGATCATATTATTGTTACGAGTTTGGGGTTCGAGACAATTAAAAACTACCGATTTAATTACCAAAATTGACACTTGTACACGCCCCTAGCTGCCCCAACCAAGGCTGACGGGATTAGGGCCCATGAGTAATCCCATCGACGAGCAGCAGAGGGACGGGGCCAGAATATGGCCACGTGGAAATTCCTAATTACAATAAACCAGATGGGAGGACGTTAGAAAGACATAGTACTTACCCATTATCCGAAGCTAACTTCGCACCAAGGCTTGGGCAGGCCGTGAGTGTGTGTAATAGTGGATGGCGAGTAGTGTACAGTGAGGTGTGAATGTGTGGGGCCTTGTCAAGCATAGGCGACCAGCCGCTGCCGAGTTCCAGGCTGCTCCAAAATGCTGCACCGCTTCAGACTGCTTCGGCGCCGGACCACAATCACTTTCCTCTTTCGTCACGATGACAGTCAATTAACTCTATCGTGCGATTAACTAACTTACAGAAGCCACTAACTATCGCGGGGTATAAGGTTACCGCACAAAACGCACACGGAGCCTCTGGACCAAAGGTCGCTACCGTTTCGCGTTGCAACAATTAGTTCTAGAATATCAGAGGCCGCACTAGCTTATATTGTCGAATGCACGTATACAGATTCTGAGTGGGACCCAATAAGTCCCGGGAAAGGCTATCCAAACAGGGAATGCGCGTTATAAATCCTAGACGGGATATTTACTAGACGCCCTAACTATTCCGCGGTTCCCGCACAAAATTGGCAGCGTGCTGTTCCAAGCACACCTGGCAGACGACTCCCTGCCCTTGTGCGTTTTTCGCACGACCGAAAGTCAAACCGGTATGAATGCACCGCGCCGAGCGCCCTCTCGCGTCAATCCTTGAAACTAGCGCTTGGCGCGAACAATTTTAATTACAGAACACTAATTACAATTTAACCGGTTCAATGCGGATGGCACGCCAGGCGATTATTTTTGTGTGGCGTATGACACGCGAGTCGTGTCTTTCTAAAAATTGTTATAACGCTCAAATTGTGTTATTGGAAGATTTATCCAGAACAAAATATTC